GAGAAGAAAAATTGCCAAACTACCGCTGTCAGACAGCCCAATTTTTACCCCTGAAAATACTAAACAAGCCATTGCAGACAGCAAACCATCGCGAGCGCTAGGTCCCGACGGCCTTTGTAATATACATCTTAAACATCTCGGCCCACTTGCTACTCAATACTTAACATACCTTTTTAATATCTCTTTGTCCGAAAACATTATCCCCCAAATTTGGAAAAATTCAAAAATTGCACCACTTCCAAAGCCCAATAAGGATCTTAAACAATCAACATCTTACAGACCTATATCCTTACTCTGCCCAGCAGTTAAAATTCTGGAGAGGCTCGTTCACCCCATCTTTACCAAACATCTCCCCAACGCCAAACAACAACACGGCTTCCGCCCTTTTCACTCCACCACCACAGCTCTCTCCACTCTCGAATTTTACATTTCAGACGGTTTTAACCAAAACAGCCCCCCTAAACGTACGGTACTGGCCACACTTGACTTATCTAAGGCTTTCGACATGGTGTGTCATCGCTCACTTGTGGAACTCGTTCATGACACTCCCCTCCCAAGAAGTCTAGTCCGCTGGCTAAGTAATTACCTTAATGGTCGACAGGCTGCCACCTCATTCCGTAAACACACATCCCCCCATCGAATAATCCACTGTGGCGTACCCCAAGGTTCTGTTTTATCACCCACACTCTTCAATTTTTATGTCCATGATGCACCGCCACCTCCCGATAATGTAAATTGTTTCGTATGCAGACGATTTCCACCCCTTCGCAAGCAGTTCCAATATTGATATCGCCTCAAACTCCATCAATAGCTACCTAAAAATGCTCTGCGATTTTTTCACCTCACGCAAACTAAGTTTCGCGTCCTCTAAAGGATCAGTTACACTTTTCTCCTCTTATAACAAAGAATTTAATAAAACACCTAGTGTTCTTTTAAATAACGAGGCGCTACCCCTAAACAAAAATCCAACAATCTTAGGGGTGACATTTGATCCAACACTTTGTTTTGCCACTCACTGCAAACAATCCGCTGAAAAGGCCAGACGCAGGATCGGAATCCTGAAGGCATTAGCAGGATCAACCTGGGGTCACCCAAGTGACCCAAAGAAACCCTCCTCCTAACTTTTAAAGCTTTAATTCGCCCCATACTTGACTATGCAGCCCCCGCATGGTCCCACGCATCAAGTAACACCTCCATAAATTGCCTGCAGGTTGCCCAAAACCAATCCCTTCGCGTTGTTACTGGATCAAATCTAATGAGTTCCACTGCCCACCTGCACAGTGAATCTGAAATCCTAACGGTCAAAGACCACCATACCCTTCTGTCATCTCAATTTTTTATCTCTACCTATCGTTCCCACCATCCCATTAATTTTATACATTCACATCCCCCTCCTCCCCGTCTACTTCACCCCTCAATTATCAGCTGTTTCAAAGAAGACACCCAGAAAATTTTAACCGACTTTTCAGTCTACGCAAACCACCCTCTAGTTCTGGACGACCGAGACGAAGTCTCCACTTTTATTTTTAACTACTACAAACCAATTTTAAAAGACAACCATACCTCCCTTGTAACCAAGTTCCTAGCCGAAACCCCTCCGTCTAAAGTTATTTGTATCCCTCCCCCAAAGATTGACCCCTCTGAAAAATCTCTCCCACGTCCCACGCGCTGTAAGCTCTCCCAACTCCGGTCTAGCTACAGCCGGCTCCTTAACACTTACCTATCCCGCCTCGACAGCTCCATCTCCCACCTTTGCCCAACCTGTTCCCTTGCCCCCCACACAACATGTCACCTTTTCAACTGCTCCCAAAACCCCTCCCCACTCACCCCAGCAGACCTGTGGCTTCGGCCGGTAGAGGTTGCTAAGTTCCTTGACCTGGAGACAGAAGAGCCCAACCCGACCCGCGTGGGCTAACAACAACAACAACAACAACAAAAATTGGATCAAAATCAATAAAGCCGACGAAAAAATCAAAATATATTTTAAAAAATTTACGGCTTTAGACTCAGTACCCTTTCAGTAGCTCTGGACAGCTCAATAGCCCTATTAAGCTGAAAATCATCCGAAACAATTTCGGCAAAAAAACACATCAAAAAATCGTGCATTATTAAGTAATCCTAAATAGGCGGTACATGCTGTTCGTACATAGGTGGATGTAATATATAGCGTTGCTTATCTACCGATAAGATGAAAGAAAGTGACCGCACAGAATGATTTTGGTATTGAAATAGCTGATGACAAGAAATCGAACATTCAAATAAACAACTCAGCACGTTAAGCCATGACGGTTTTGTCCATGTTGAAAAGAAGCTCGCCTTTATAAAAACTGAAGACTAAATTCAAGCTATTCAAATCAATGGTAACTAGCGTGTAAAGCACCTCCGGTGCTTCGAATTTTTAACAACTCGTAAAAAATCGCATATTAGAAATAAGATCTGAAACCTTTGAAAGTACTCTGACAGTACCCAATTACAGGGTTGGAAATTTCAAATATTGTTAAAATTTTTCAATTCAAATTTTGAAACACCCATAAAGTTCTGTGAAGCTTTTCATATCTAAGTTTTTTGAAGGTTTTTTAAATAACATTTAAAACATCATATCTCGGTAACTGAAACCAATTGAACAGTTACAATTGAGCGCAAGATTTGCAACTCTTGAGAGTACTCTTACAGTACCCAACTGCAGCGCTGGGAATGTCAGTTTTTGAGAAACTTTAAAGATCTCTAAAATTTTTTTTTGAAAAACCATAAAAACATATCACAAAAAATACATAGATTTGAGCAGTCATATTTGGAGGCAACATTCGCAACCTCTGAGATTACGCTGAGAGCCCCTAACTACAGGGTTAGGAATTTCAAACTTTGAAAATAAATTTAAATTTAAAATGACTGATGTTTTTGAAACAATTAAAAAACTACACAAAAACGTCATATCTGGAAAACTACAAGAATTTGATCAGTCACATTTGGAGGCAAGGTTACGAACCCCATGAGAGTATTCTGACTGCCCCAAACTACAGGGTAGGGAATGTCAAAACTTAGGAAAAAAATGAATTTGAGTTTTTGAAAACTTTTTGAAAAAATCACAAAATACGTCATATCTCAAAAACTACACGGATTTGAGCATTTACATTCAGAGGCAAGATTCGGAACCCTTGAGAGTACCCACAAAGTTTCCAACTACAGGATGAAGATTTTCAAAGTTTTTGAATTTTTTTAAATCTAAGTTTTTGATAATTTTTGAAAAAAAATCATAAAAAACCTCGTATCTCAAAAACTACAAGAATTTGAGCATCCATAATCAAAGGCAAGATTTGCAACCTCTGAGAGTACCCTCACAAAATCCAACAACAGGATTGAGATCTTCAACGTTTTGAAAAATTTTAAAATCTAAGTCCTACAAGGATTTGAGAATAGAAAATTGGAGGCAAGATTCGCAACCCCTGAGAGTACCCTGACAGCGCAAAACTACAGGGTTGAGATCATCAAATTTTGTGAAATTTTTCAAATTCAAGTTTTCTACATACTTTTGAAAAATCTCGAAAATTTCCGTAACTCGTTAACTAAAGGATTTGGTTAGTCATATATGACGACCAAAATCGCAACCCCTGAGGAATCTTTATAGCATCTCACCATCGAGTTGCTTATTTCAAAACTGATGAAATAATCCTTGACATCAAACTGGAAAATCGAAAAAATTCTTAACCATTGCATTTTACGATATAACTTAAACGTGAAAAAAATCTTTCGTTAAACATGCAAAAATAATACGTTGAAAGTTTAAAAAAGGCGAGATAGTGAGGCCCGCATTTAATCAATGGTAATTGCTGTAATGATATATGGTAGCCCCTGCTGGAACCCCAATGTAGAAAACTTGAAGGTGTTAGAAGATGTCCAGAAGAAATGTGTTAAGTTAATTCTGCTCATTTCGTTATACTTACAGTTACAAGATCGTCTACTACTGGACAAATGTATTAATTGCGCGTACGATTTCGATGGTAGCAATTAATGATTTTGACAGAATCAGCGCGTGATTTGAGATCAGATAATATCATCGTCTTCGAACACAAAAAGCTACTATTCAAATGCGAGCAGAATTTATTTTTCAGAGCAGGCGCGCTTGTCAACAGATTACAAAGTAGCGTAAACTCACCGACAGAATAGGGCTAAAAAAACGAATTATTTTCTCTCTATGGAGACACTTTGAAACAAACTACAACAAAATGATTTCCAGTACTAGAAGAACTGAACAGAATGCTTGACGCTTGAGGCCATCCACATCGCCAGGCTGCGTCCCGGTCTCAATGCAAAAGAAGAGTACCGCAAACGCGAACTGACCTTGCGGTTGCGATTGACGTCCCTGTTTCTTTGTTCCAGCTTATCTGGCGAGAAATACTGTAATGATTCTTTTATTGTTCCGACTTTCGATACGAAAGTAACGGAATATTTGTGCTCGGGGTGAGTTTTTTTTTCTTCAGACAAATTTCGACTTTTTAACTAGCCATTTTTGACGGAATTTTTTTTTATCATTCAAAAGGTATTGTTATCCTGAGCTTAAATTTGAAAAGATATTTCACCTGTGATCATTTTTCGTAAAGTTGTGAGGGTTTAAAGATTGCCATTTTGACCAATTTGGGACAATTAACGCGCGATATAATTCGCGCTGCGCTATTAACGCGTAAGCGGAGATTTAATCCGCCTTATAAATCGTTCCAAATTGGTTGAACGAAGCTTATGTGCCATAATTGATTTGTTACAAGGAACGAAATCTATCTTTTTGTACTTTATATGGCGTGTGGGGGGATGATTTTCATAAAAAATTTCAAATTTTAGAAAAAAAAATTTCATTTCATTTTATTTCTTTCAATTTTTTATGTTATTACTGCTGCTCCATAAACGTTAAAAGGCAGTCGGAACATTCAGGGCTTCACCCTGATACGAGCAGTCTTATTTCCTTTATTTTCTCATGATTACGACTTACTGTTTGCGTTGATAATGTCTTAAGACGAAAACGTTTCAATTTCAAAAAGTACATTGATTATTTTTATTCATCACTGAACAGCAAAACTCATCTTGTTCAAGGGAGTCATCCCGGGCCGCCGAGTCCATAATACATAAATACATACATACATACTCCATAAAAGTCAAGACATCATAAGAAAGAGTGTTTTCAATCGGTGAAGGCAATGAAGTCTATGATCACCATTATATTACAAACAAAGCATTCTTTCGTCGACTTCTTCGCCCAAGTCTGTTTCTTCACATTCAATTGCTTCTCTTTTGACCTTTCTACCTTTCTTTTTGAGATCTTTTTTGACAGCTGTTGAATCATTTCCAACTTCTGTTGAATCGTGTTCCGCAGATATATGTTCATCGTTTAAATTACTGGTATGATGTTCTAAATTTTTACTAGGAATGTAAAATTCTCCTCTGAAAATCCGTTTGTCCTTAATATTTTCGGTGATACTGACATTAGATTCAGCTAGAGTTTTTTCGATAAACGATTTGGCTTCTGAGCTTAAATTATGGAGACGCGATATCGTGCATATCAAAAACGAACAGTAATTAGATAGATGTCCGAGTTCAGTCCACAATTTGAGGCACTTCATTGCTTTACCAGTCATTATATGATTCTTTTCCAGAATTACTTTGCACAATTGAAGTAACCGGATACACTCAGAATTCAAAGATCCCTGAGGCCGCTCAATTTCATCGAAAACTGCTTGGTATTTAAGATACATACTGAAACACTGATTGGAAGTCTTATAAAAACCAAATTTATGTAGATTCGAATGTTTTGTCTTAAGGAAAGCGAGACAACCCACAAGTTCATCCGACATGGTTTGATTGATTTTTGCAATTACGTCAAAAGATTTCATTCTACCTGAAACTTAAATCTATGCTTCAAAACCTCAGTTAAAACAGCTCTTAAATGTAGGAGATGTAGCAATAACCAAATAAGACTGAAAAGAAAACACTAATCTTTTTTTGAAGACACGAAACATGTAATAGATCGTTTTTTTATCAATAAACACAGCCAACTAACATTTGGAAGAGTAATGAACACAAGGAAACTGAAAAAAAAACTGACTTGTTTCTTCAAGAGCCTTCAACTTTTCAATTTCGAAGATTGTACATAATTTGAAGAAGAAGAAGAAAGAACACTTGAATTACTATACAATAAAGAGCCGAGGCATCAGTGTAGCAAAGTGTAAATAATAAAATTAGTTATAAATTCATTGGTTACATCAAACAAAAACAAAACATCAGAAAACAAGCAAAAAACAAAACAAAAAAAAACAAAATCGGTTACAGTTCGGAAATTGGTTGATTAAAGTAAATGAAGTTTCGGATACTATAGAAAAATAAAGATTTAAGAATTAGGAACAAGCTGGTAAAAAAACTTTACAAACAATTTTACAGATAGTCCAATTATACAGCGTATATACAGAGTATATACAGTTTCTCTTTCAAGCAATGTGTGAAAAATTAAACTGAATTAAAACAAATAGAACTAGCAAAAACGGAAATCACGCCACGTATTTGTATTAGTACATATAGGATTGTTTCTCAATTCACTCACGTAAAATTCTTTCAATTTTTTCTTGAATTCTGTTTTCGATTTTTCTAAATTGCGCAAAATTATGGGCAGTGAATTCCATTTTTTAGAAGTCAAATGAAAAAATGATTTTTGTAGAGAAGCAGTCGAACAATGTTTGTCAAAAATAATTTGTTTCGTTCTTTCGTTGAGCCTATAATTGGCAGTCGGTGGTCTCAGTGTATTTTCAAAAGCCTTCTTTTTGTTTGTAAGATATTGGTATAAGTATGTTATACACTTTAACTCAATTCTTTTCTCGATTCCAATGAACGATTTGCTAATGCGAAGAAGGGAAGATTTAAATTTCGATCTGAAATATGTTCTTTTTAGCGCCCAGTTCAACTGTTTCTCTAGAGATAGCATCAAAGTAGCATTAATTTGTTGTGAAAAAATTGCTGAATAATCTAAATGTGATAAAACAAGACAATGAAGCAAGGCAGCTAACGATAATGTCGGCAGTTGTTGTCCAATTGTATCAATAGTTTTAATCCCTTGGGGCATTTTTTGGAGAATTGTTTTGATTTGAGCATGAAAAGATAAACTTGAATCAAGAATTATGCCTAAATATTTGTAACATTCGCCCAAATATCACACAGCGACGGAGCGTAGAAAAAGTACCTATTAACGACTGGCAGGCGTCAGTTACTTTTATCCTACTCGTTTTTCACCGTCTCGAGCTTGCCAGTTGATTTTCTGGTCTGTTTAGGGCAAAGTAAAAAGTTACCATTTTTAGGCCATCAGTCAAACGACTTTTGATCAGCTTTCGTTTACATGCGAACACAACCACATAGCTGAGTCTCGGATCCTCAGACTACGTGATTGTCATTAAAAACACGGCTCGAACAACCTATTTTTATATGTTTTTGTGTGACAGCTTTATGTTAAATCCATTGGAGATGGATTGACCCTTTCCTTTTTCTAGCTACTCATGCTCTGAAATATTAAATAAAAACGGTGTTAATTAAGATCTATGACATTATAGCAGCTATACAGTCAGTTTATATAGTCCCTTCACATAGACAGTCTCTGGGGGACCAAGCCTCCGCTCCCGTAATATTCTTGAGATAACACTCTTATCTCTTATATTTCGTGTCCCGGGAGGGTTCCGTGGTGTATTTCTTCCCCCACTGAAGCCTCCTTCTCCACAAATTTCCGTCGCTAAGGTTCTTATCGTGTGTTATTGCCACGATAAGAGGCTTCGTATTTTTTTGTCTCAGATACGACTGTTCTTCACAATATATGGCGTCGTTCTGTTTTCTCTTCTTTTTTAGTCAAAATGGCCGACTTTTTTCTATTTCTCAGAAATGTTCACTCTTCAATCGAAATTTTGAAAATAAAAATTCTAGAACATTCTGACCCTCCTTCGCAACACTTTTTCGTTCATAAGGCCTTTAGTCACTCTTTTTTATGTCGCCGGAAGGTTGTGCTGTGTCATCTGGCAGAATGGCACATACTACCCGGACAAGTCTCCATCAATGTCCCTATTGATCGCATAACACCGGGTTATCGTCAAGTAGTTATCCAGTTTTCTGTAATCAATCTTACAAATTGCATAAGAAAATGAAATTTATCTACTCCACCTCAACTCACTACGTGTTCACAAATGGCATTGTACTACATCTCACTGCCTTTCAACATTTTCACAAAATTTGCACCATGAGGAGTGTCCTAGATAAAATTTCTTTTCTGACTACTTACGTCGTTTGCCATAAAACTTCTTTTCGCTTCTGATTAAAAAGTGGGACGTGGCACGGCCACGCACCCATTAAAATTAACTTAACTTCACTCACCAAGTATAATCAGTCATTTATGCGGTCCTTTCAATATTAAAACTAAGAAACTCTGTGGCTAGGAAATTTATTGAGTTACCCACCCTTCTCGAGCGAGTTTACTCAAACTTACCATGTCGCCACACAGTGAATTTGTGTCTTACACAGGTTAAAAACTCCAGTCGTGAATAAATAGGTAAATATACTCACCTATGTTCCTTATATACATACATAAATAGTAGTAACTAAAATCAACAATTTCAACAATTTTAACAATTTTAACAATTTTCAAAGTTTGTTCTGACCAAACTAGATCAAAACAAAAAGTTTAACAAGTTCAATAATCAAAACTTGGTTGATTGGTTTAAGTTTTAGCACACAAAGACAATCAAGTTTTTTCTCCATCTCTTCTCTTCTTTGGTCATCTTCATTCCATCATTTCTCCATCCTGATGTTCAGCGTCACTGTCTTCCAGGACTTTCTCTAACATGTCCAGAGAGTTGCGGGCCGTGCCCCAACCCTCCTGTTCCAACAGCCTCGGTTTGCAACAAGGTAGCAAGTCCACATTCACCTTCTGCTCCCGGTTCCTGCAAAGCTGTTGTGAAGACATAGGCTCACGTTTCGTTCTAGGTCAGCTCTTAAGACCTCTTTCTTCTCATCTTCAGTAACACAAGGCGCTCCAGCTACCCGCTTCACCGCTGTGGTGACCGCGTTTCTGTGCGTCAGGAATGCTCGTTTATAGGCTCCTGGTCCTATATCTAGCTGGAAAGATTGATAGGCTTCCGTGTTCCTTGACATGTGACGCTTCGCGCGTTCATACATCCAAGATGTCATCACTGCACGAAACCAAGGCATCAATCTTTGCCTTGACCATATTCTTTCAATGGCTTTAGGTATCCTCAGAACCTTGCAGGTGGTTCTGAAAAGATCCAATTCACGACTCATCTTTACGTTGCTCAGCTGTTCAGGAGTCGGCACGGCCGTCTCTTGCTGACTTGTGTCCGTGTTAGCTTCCAGCCATCTCACTGCTAGCATGGCGCTAACCACCACGATTGACACTTGTTGATTCTGATCGGGCAACCCCGTGGAGTACAACTCCTCCACGTCCCATACTAGGATCAGATTCCCGCGTTTGGGGTACCACAACGTCTGCGCCAAGCAGTGGCAAGGATATATTCCCCATGGGTCCTCACTATGTTCCTTCGGGTCCGATACCCTGAGGCTCCCAGCAACGGTTCCACCTCCATCAGAATTCTGTGTAAGTCGTCTTTTTCTTCTATTGTGGGGAATTCAGTGGGTAAGGCTCCACTCGCTTTCTGTTTCTCGAACTCACTCACATTGCCTTCGTTCAGTCTCATGAACTCTTCACCCACAACGTCTTGCAACTCGCCTTTGGATCTCTTCGGGACTGCCCGAAAGATCTTTGCCAACAAGTCATATGACCTTTCTGACATTCTGGCCAACCTCACGCACTTTGGCACAGAGAAAAATTGGTCAACCAACACTTGTTGCGTCCTCGCATCCATCACTACCATGTGCGTAGGATACTTGCTATTACAATATGGCGCGGAGCTTGAACCCACCATATATTTTGAACCAGTAGGTCTGTGATAGGCTTCACTATCCTTCAGATTCATTTCGTTTTCTAGAGCTTCTCGCCAGCCTCCAATCTTCTGCTCTGTTTGTAATGCTCCAGGGAATATTTCCACGCTGAGGGACGTCACTAGCTCATGGACACGCTCCAGGCGCTCGAGTGATTCTATCGAACTCGTCATGCTACAAAATCCCAAGGCTGTGATCAAGTTCACGTCCGTCACCCCATGGCAGTCTGCAACCAACTCCATGGCACTCTTATCTGACATGCTCAATCTTCCGTACAATCGTGCCAGTTGTCGATGCTGCTCGCTCAGCGTAATCAGGCAGTGTCCCAAGTTGCAAACATGCCCTTCCATCCTACTTTGTTGAGCCAAGCATGTGCCTTGCTTCAACCAATCGCTCGATGGACTTTCCTCAGGCAGCTCCGTGGATGGATTGCTCTTCCGCTTCGTCGACTTCATGGCCAGCAGATGGTGTATCATGGCCAGATCATGTAAACTCGCATCATCATCTAGGTCTAACGTAATATCCGCCGTCATGTCCCAGATTAAACCGGCATTAGGATGAGGGCACCAAGAAGGCTTCATGAGTTCCCACATCGTCACTAGACTGGTTTTCAAGGGACCGTCCCAAGAACCACAATCATAACTCACTTGCCCCTTTAGCTCGGGAACCGAGGGTTCGACCACTCGTTCTTCCAAGATAATTCCCAGCTTGGGTTGTTCCACCATCAGCATCCCAGTTTCTTTAATACGTTCAACCCAGAAATTGAGTACTATGACTTGCTCATAGTCGAAGTACGCTTCCCTGGCTTCTTCATTCACGAAGGGATTATACGCCATCCCCGGTATGCCAGACACATATTGGAATGACTTCAGTTTCCCTAGTGTTGCAAACTCTTTTTGTCCTCTGACCGCTTCAATCAACTC